GCGCTAGAGGGCGAGGCATTGGAGGAAAGCGATAAGCGTCGGGAGGAGCTGGGGAGGTTGACGAGGAGCATCCGGGTGATGGGAGACGACCCCCGGGGAGGGATCAATGCGGTGAGCTACACATTACTCTATAAAAGTAATCTCTCGTCTCGTCTCACCGTAATCTCACTATTTCTCCCCGTGTAGATCCATAAAACCCTCGAGCTCCTCCGCGAGGAAGGCCTCACGCACTACGAAGACCACCTTTACTATTACGGCTATCTATTCTGTGTGGGGGCTTCTGATATGCCGCATGCCAAAGAGTGGGCTACAAAGGCTCATGAAGCGCTTGTTCTGGCTGCGGGCGCCGACGGCGATGGCGTAGAGCTGATGCGGGGGTATATGGAGAAGCCGGAGAGTCACCCATGCAAGGGAATATTTTCTCGAATGGTGCTCTCTGGTCCCAAGTAAGGCGATTTTCGTGTTTCTATTTTTTCAGTAGTTTTGAGAGCAGCCCGGCTTGACCGTAGCTGCTGGAATTTAGTCGCCTGATTGCCTTTACATCTGTTGTTCAGCGGGGTGCCGGTGTCCCTGGCTACCCCGCGTCCATCTAGATGCCTTATTGGGGCATAAAATCATAAGTAAACTGAGTTTTTCCCTTTATTGGTCTGCGAGCAGCGCCCCTCTTACCGACGTTTGCCACTCAAAATGACTGGTGCGTCCAGATACATCTCTATATCGTTCGGGCGTCTGCTGAGTTGCACCCATCACTCAAATAGCGACTCCTCGACCCCCCGCCTGCAAACTCACAGGCACTCCCGAAAAGGGCTATGCTGTCCGCGCCAACCGCGATATCAAGAGGGGAGAACTCGTTATCGATGAGGCTCCCCTATACACTCTGTCTAAACCTTGGGATGTTGACGCGATCAAACTAAAACTCGAGCACCTCACTCGCGAACAGAAAGAGCAATACCTCAAGCTTTCTTCGGTCTCACGGAACGATATGAGCCAGATCGAGTCGATCTTTCGAAGCAACTGCCTCCCTCTTGGCTTATCCAACCCCATGCGAATTCAAGCCACGACGGAGTTTGGGATCTTTCACAAGATATCGCGGTTCAATTCTTCGTGCTCCCCGAACGTCCGGAATGTCTGGGACGAGAAGGTCAAGAGGATGAGGATGGTCGCGCAGCGTGATATTACTACGGACGAAGAGCTATGCTTTTCCTACGGCATGGTCCTCGCACCACGCGCCCAGAGGATGGAAGGGCTAAAGAAAGATTTTGGGTTTGAGTGTGCGTGCGCAGCGTGTGCTCGCGGGGAGGACGCGTCGAAGAAAAGCGATGGGCGGCGCGCGGAGTTAGCGCGGCTGATGAAGGTGATCCGGAGTATGGGACACGACCCCAGTGAGGGAGTCAGGATGGTGGGCCATTGTTTTCGCTGCGATTGCTATATAGCATTCTCTGACCGCAATATTAATGGCCGCCATGCACTTAGGTTCGCAGAGCTCTGAAGCTTCTCAAGGCGGAGCGCCTCACAGACCACGAAGACCATCTCTACTACTACGGATACTTGTTCTGTGTAGGGGCGTCTGACATTACTCATGCCAAGGAGTGGGCAGTTAAGGCGCTCGACGCACTTGTGCTCTCTGTAGGCCCTTATGGCGATGGGGTCGAGCTCATGCGAAAGTATGCGGAGAAACCGGAGAGCCATCCGTGTAAAGGCGTATTCCTCCCGATGACCTTGTCCGGTCCCAAGTAGTCCCCGCTTTCGTTGGCGCTCCCTTCTTTTTTTGTGCGCCTGTACTCGCGTGCGATACGCTCATGTTGAGGGATGTGGATACTTACTGTGCATGCATGTAAGGCGGATTGATTCACTCAATTGGCGTACTGGCGTAGTACTGAAGCGGCACCGCGCCATCTTGTCATGGCTAGGGAGACCACCTTGACTCTTAAATTAAAGCTGCAGCTTAGCTACGTCTTGGACACCGGCTATGAGCAACAGGCTACCGCTAAGTTTTCGAAGGCTCTGAGCCGATCATGCATATACTATGTAATAGCTAGCCGCACAGTCAGTCTTCGATCGAGTCCGAATGGTATATTGACCGGGTATTCAAAGAGCTGCCGAATCGTGCACCCCAGACTCGACCAAAATTGTTGTGCAAAACATAATACGTATGACAACCATAAACCCAACAGGATGCGCGAACCCATTGTAACTCGCTCCTGAGCCCATTTTGAGCAATCTATCGAATAGGTGGAGTCAGGTTAAAAGAAAACGTCGGTTGTGGATAAAACAGCTTAACGAACTCACTAATGGTGTTTGCAGTACTCGTCCAGCGCGAGTTCAGCAGCCCCCCGCGTAATATAGTCGCAATCAGGGTTGTTCTTCAGGCATCCATCAATCTGCTTCTTCCTGCGAATTTCATTGCGTAAGGCGGTGGCGGAGAAGCTGAACTCAGGTCGAGGCTTACTTTTTGCAAAAGCATTTTCCGAGTCTGTCGGTGTGCATCGATAAGCAACGAGTAGTGAGCAGCTGGACTTAGGTAACGAGTGCTTACTTTGTTGGGTGTTCGTCGCATGCCTTCTCCTTCAAAGCGCAGCCCGCTAAGCATTCGAATACCTGGGGGTCAACGCTGCCAATGCCTTTTGGGAGGTGCGCGGCCGAAGCAGCGGCGACAAAGAGCGCGGCGATGGCGAGAACAGGGCGCATAGTGAGCAACTAGGAAAGGGAGGAAGCCGAACGAAGACGTCTGAGCGAGATGGGCCGCTCACCACAGGTTTTATAGACGAGCCTCACCGAGCCTCGTCGGGCTAATGCCTCCGTCTGCATGCATCGTCCAGCCCGAAAATGAAACTTTCCGTCGGTGTCCTCGCGAGAAAATGTATTATTTACATAATGCAATTGGCCCAAACGCGCGATCTACGGACAGCCCCATCACTCTTCTGCCGATGTTGATTGTTTCGAAGGTGCGAAGGAAGAACTCCCTAGTGGCAGACGCACGCGGACGGAGGAAGGCACGGGCGATTGCGCACGCGACACTGTCCCTCGGCGTTGATCCGGCTGATCGCGCCTATACTGCCCGTACATTTCATTCACCCCTGCCACAGCCAAGCATGCTTCCTCACCTCCCATCTTATTGACGACAACACGATGATAAAGTAATATTAGAATTGCAGAGGCGACGATTGAAGCCAGTTCACCGTCGCGGCGGGATACCTATCGAATCTGTGCATACCTGGACAGGCTGCGACCAACCTAAGCCGAATACGTACAATCGTCTCTCAGAACGTTCCGACAGTGATGGTCGGGCTTTTGTTGCAGGAGATGCAGCGATTGAAACGCATGGAAACTTGATCCGCTGCTTAATGGAATGAGGTCGCCACTCGGCCCCGGGCGGTGGGCTCATCCTCGTTACTGGCCGTGTCCGGGGGCAAATATGCGAATCTGCAGATCCTCCCGGAGTCTGACACTACCGTTACGCAGCACGAGTCGGCTGAGACTCTGAGGCCATATATGATACTAGCTTTTTACCTAGTCACTCTGCTCGCTCCCAAGTTCACAACATCACGCTGGCAGAGTTCCCTAAACTTTCCAGAACCTGGTCGATACCTAAAGCTCGAAGGGACCATTTCCACCTGCTGTCTCGAGACAACTTCGATAGACAGATATCGACGAGGCCAGCGAGAACGGTGTGAGCGATAACGTTTGGTCGCGATTGTATCGCCAGCAGGCCGGGGCCCGGAATATCAGCTGAAGCTCTTCGTGAAGTCCAGCTCCAGCTTGTGAGGCTGAGGGCACAACAGGCAACAGTAGCCATAACATAAAAGCAGTCATCTTGTTGAAAAAGTAAACCCAATCACTATTACGGGTGCGATAGGCTAAGGATGGCCTTCCGGAAATGGCAACGATCCTTGGCATCACCTCAGCAGTCGACTCCGAGCTCGATTCTCGCCAAGATCGCCCCTTACTAGAATGGTAAGAAAATTCGTTGTAGCATCGAAAAAAAAGGGACTCTCGAGGGTAAACTTCGCGTGAAGTTTCATAGCAAGAGCTTTTTTAGAGCACGAATGTCGTTCCCGGATAGCAGTGGGGCAGTGGTGGGCAAACGCAGCTTCCAGACTTGATGATTCAACTTGATGCCGCAACTTAATCCTTGCTTAGATAAGGATAGTTAGCTAGTGCCACTCCAGCTTAGCGCGGAAGAGCAAAAGACAGGAAGGAGCTATACAAAAGAACCGTAGGATTCGAGTCAAAGGAAGATGAGTGGAATGTTCATTTTGAAAAAAATATGTGAAATTGGACGAGGGAGGGTTTGAACTTCCGTCCGAGCCAATGTAGACGTCATTAAAGCTGGTGCTTCCGGTAAGCTACTCGCCCGTGTTAAAGTAGGGTAAGTGCTACAATAAGTACTACTACTAAAGTAGGGCTCGGCAAATAACTCACGTGCCTCTAAGTTTTAACACATGAACGTTGATAATAACTCGTGTTGAGCACGGTATCGCCCTCGGATAGGTACGCAAATGCTTCATGGGCGGTTATCATGGAATTCCGAGAGCTACAAGGTCAGAGTGATGACGTCCCAAGTTCCGCACGATATTTTCCACAGAATATGGTCTGCATGCTGGCCACTGCGATATCCAGGCCGTGTTCTTGACATCTAAACATACAGTCCTTGGGGACAATCACACAGCTACATCCAGGCTAAGTTCCCCAACAGAAATCGCCCCTTCAACTTTTCAAGCCAAAAAAATCATGTAATACTTCAAGGCACATGACTTTCACGTGAGTTATTTGCCGAGCCCTATACTAAAGCCCCGGCATCGCATGAATTTGGCCGAGTCGACATGATCGAGCACGGAATAGTAGTACGCATAATGCTCAGCATCGTTTTCATTTTGCCAAAAAGTATTGAACGCCGGTTCATTCACCTCTCAACTTGCAGGTCCATGCGAAGAGAAACGGAGCGCAGCTCGGATGAGGATCTTGCTCATTCTGAACGAAAAAAAAAAGTGCAATAAGAATGGACGAGGGAGGATTTGAACCTCCGTACAAGTGATCTCATCGATTGCGTGAGAAAGCTGGTGCTTCCGATAAGCTACTCGCCCGTCTTTGAGTTCCCACGCTCACATCATATAACGTCAACAATTTCACCTAGATTACTATGCCAGAATACGAATCTGTCGCCGGATGCCATCCACTAGTCCGTTTCTATTCAAGCAATCTCCGCGATGGAGAATCCTAAGGCGAGTTGAGTTCTTATCATTTAACAGCTAATTACATTCACGAGACTTGCAATGCTCGAAAGCCAGTTCACGATATCAACCTTCGTTACTTTGACTTGATTCCCGGCTCAGATGCAACCAACGCTCAAGGCTGGACCTCCTTCAACCACTCATCGGCGGTCTTGACCTCGTGTGCGAAACCAGGGTACTAGTGTATTGGCCAATCGAACAATCACCCTGTAAGCGTGGATCTGCGTGAAGGATAGTCGAGATGGCATGATGACATACGTTGATATCGACGGAGGTCTTGAGCGCCTCAGCGGTGAAATCGGCTGTGGCATCTTTGAGCATGGTGACGTGGTAAGCGAGCTCAACAGCGTAGCGACCTGTGGCTTCAATACAGGTGTTGGCGGTGAGCCCCGCGAGGGCGATGTGTGTGATACCGTGTTTGCGGAGTTGGACTGGGGTAGGAAGTAGGGAGGCAAGAGGGGTCGTTAGTTACGCTGCTAACCCAGCGACGGACGCCAAGTTCCAGGCCTCAGGATGTAGAGGTAAGACCTACAGCTCAGGTTGGTATTCTCGAATGCGCTGGAGAAAACGAGAAAAGGTCAGCCAAAACTCCAATATCGATATCAATTCTCGGGCCTCCGGGTATTCACCTGTACGTAAAATGCTCAGTCGCAACAACATCCCCACCCTCAATGTCCGGCTCCAGCCCCTCATAGAACTCCCCGCCCCAGCTCCCAAACTTGAATGCCTCCACGGCCTTGATCCCGACCTGGACCTTGGCCGGGAATGCGAACCCGTCAAAGTCTCCGGGGCGGAACTGGCGATGCGGGGCGTAGAATATCGGCACGCCCGCTGCGCGCGCGGAGGCGACGAGGCTCACGAGGCGGGGGGCGACGCCGGTGGATTTTAGAGAGCTTTCGAGCCCAGGGTAGAGCTTGCCGCCTTCGGCGAGGAAGTCGTTGTAGGGGTCGACAAGGACGAGAGCGGTGTGACCTTTAGAGTAAGTCATGATTTATCGTGCTGGCAGCGGTAAATTTATGAGGAGTAAGGGGACTGTCCAAATGTCCGTTTATCATGCCTACCTTTTATACGTCTAGGCTGAGCTCCCGGGAAGAAACGTAGTATCCGCCGCCGGGGAGTGGGTCCCGTCATCACAAATGAGTGATAAGCAAGTGCGCGATAGATAGGGTCGACCCGAGCTCATTAACGAGCGAATCCATCACGCAGGCTGCATTGGCGATAGTGCTGCCGAGTGGTTGTTTACTGCGCTGGTAAGCCCAAAGATTTAGGCGCGAGGTAGATTGTCGTCCGCCGTGTTACTTAGCTAATCGCACTCGGTCTCTACTGAATACGCGTACACAGAGCCCTACCCTCGATATGAATCTCACGGGGGCGCAGAAAAAGAAGATGGCGCGAGCTGAGATGGCTTGGATTCAAAGAGGAAAATCACAGTCGAATCTGGCAGCGATAGGAATGACTAGGATGGTATTCCGCCAAAAAAAAGAGATATTTCAAGAATGGACAAGGAAGGGTTTGAACCTCCGTACAGGTGATGTATTGTCAACAGAGTCAACAACGCACAAATGTGCTTCCGCTAAGCTACTTGCCCGTATTTATTTCAGATCGGAGCCTGATCATGGGTCCCCTACACCTATTATATCAGGCCAACCAATAATTGGAACCTGTCTACTCCGTTTCCACACCAAGTAATTCTTCCCCGCTCAAAGTCTGCAACGGGCGTTGGGAAGTTTGCACGATAATTGAAATTTCCTTATTTTCAGCCAACTATGCATACGAGACTTTGAATTTCGAAGCCCAAGCACATTTTCCTAGTGATCCCGACTCAAATAGGTTCAACTTCACTGAATATCCTTCAACCATTCATCGGTGGTCTTGACTTCATGCGCAAAACCTGGGTACTATGTCAATCAATCATTCTGTAAGCGAGGATCTACGCAACTGTTGAAAGAGGTAGCTACGTACGTTGATCTCAATGGAGGCCTTGAGCGCCTCGGCAGAGAAATCGGCGGTAGCGTCTTTGAGCATCGTAACATGCTAGGCGAGTTCGACGGCGTAGCGACCCGTGGCCTCGATACAAGTGTTGGCAACGAGGCCGGCGATGGCGATGTGTGTGACTCCATGTTTGCGAAGTTGGACTATGGGATACAAATTAGTGCTAGTGGGAGCACGCGTTGAATTGGGTACTCACAGTCGAGATTGGTGTTTGCGAACCCGCTACGTGTATAGCGATAAGTCAGTAAACAATATAACAAACCGGGGGAATCATACGGGGCTAACCTAGTAGTAAAATGCTCGGTGGCAACGACATCCCCACGGGCAATATCCGGCTTCAACTCATCACGGAACTCCCCTCCCCAGCTCCCAAGCGCGAACCCCTGCGCGGCCTTGATGCCCACGTGCGACTTGCTCGGGAACACGAAGTCGTCAAAGTCTCCGGGGCGGTACTGCCTATGCGGGGCATAGAATATCGGGACGCCCGCTGCGCGCACCGAGGCCACAAGGTGGGCGAGGCGGGGGATGAGGCCGACGGCTTGGATAGATTCTTGGAGCCTGGGGTAGAATTTGCCGCCTTCGCTGATGAAGTCGTTGTAGGGGTCGACGAGGACGAGCGCAGTATGGCCTTTTGGATATGACATCGTTGGAATTTAGAGTGGGTATGGCGCTGGGTATTAGCACAGATGTTTCATTGCCATCTTATACCACTTCCCAAGTAGCCGCTCGGGCGGTGGGTCCCGTCATTACAGATATTACGGAGATCAAACCTGTGTGATTAGAACGGAAGAGGAAAGGCCGACCTCGCCCTGGGAACCAATAATGTCAGCACTCGGTGTCGTTAGCCCTTCGTCTTCAAGTTCTTGGCGCAGCCCAATGTGGTGGTGAGTTAAGTACAGCTTAATACAGGCTTACCAACCCATTATTTAGCCCTGTTTATAGCACGGAGTTAAGCTTTGCTAACGCCGGTCGCCGATCTGTGATCTTTCGAATCTCGATCCTGCCTTGTCTCCAACTTTCTCCACCAAAAGTTTTCAAAAATGGACACGTACCAGTCGCCCCTCTCCAGGTCTGCGCATCCCATGATTTCTCTCGTATCTTCAAAAACGAACCTTAAATTTTGCGCAGCCGCTATGCGAGCAAAGAGATGAACCACTTGTTCTCGAGCTCCGTTCGTACCCCCCACCGAAATCGATCTATTAATTATCATCAACTCAGGGACGCTCGATCCTATGCATTTTGCTAGATGAAATTTCACACATGGAGGAAGCTCTGGCTGACGCTCGCGACGGTCGAAAAAGAGCTCGGGCTCGCGATCTCGGACAAAGCGATCGAGCAGATGAAAGATAATCTCGTTTGTTTTTTTTATTATTACACGATGCATAACGCGTATCAAATTTCGATAGCTAATTAAATACCCCTTGTTATTCTAGTATCTCGATGAAAGGCAGTTTGCGGTGGCCGCGGAGGAAGAGAAGAAGCGGAGGCACGACGTTATGGCGCACGTCCATACGTTTGGGACTGTCGCGCCCGAAGCAGCGGCGATCATCCAGCAAGTTTCCCCTTGAGCTTTTTTTTTTGCTCAGCCTCTTCTAAATCTTCCGCACCACTGTAGTTTGGGTGCTACGTCGTGTTACGTGACCGAGTATGTCCCTTGCTCACTACACCACACCACCCCCGTTAACCACGCCCCCCTTCTTTAATCCCCAGCAACGCCGACCTCATATTCCTACGCCAAGCCTGCGATATCCTCCTCCCCAAACTCGCCACGGTGATCGACCGCTTCGCGAAATTCGCGCAACAGTACCGTGACCTCCCCACGCTCGGCTTCACGCATTTCCAGCCGGCGCAGCTCACGACGGTGGGCAAGCGCGCGACGCTCTGGATCCAGGAGCTCCTCTGGGACCTCCGCAATATCTCGCGCGCAAGAGACGATATCGGATTCCGCGGGGTCAAGGGCACGACGGGGACCCAGGCGTCGTTTTTGGCGCTGTTTGATGGGGATCATCAGAAGGTGTGTTTATCAATTTTGTTGCAGCAGCCTCTCAGGGTATTCATGAATACGATCCTCTCTATTCTTCAAAACAACCCAGGTGGAAACGCTCGACAAAAGAGTAACCGAGCTCATGGGCTTCACATACGCCTACCCCGTCACCGGGCAGACCTACTCGCGGAAGATCGACGCCGACGTGCTGGGCCCGCTCGCTTCGTTCGGCGCGACGGCGCACAAGATCGCGACGGACATCCGGCTTTTGGCGAACCTGAAGGAGATCGAGGAGCCGTTTGAGAAGGACCAGATCGGGAGCTCGGCGATGGCGTACAAGAGGAACCCGATGCGGTGCGAGAGGGTGTGCAGTCTGGCGCGGCATCTGATGGTGCTGCAGCAGAATGCGCTGATGACGAGCTCGGTGCAGTGGTTTGAGCGGACGTTGGACGACAGGTTCGTCTCTCCCTCTCTCCCTCACACTTTTTAGGTTGTGGAATTGACTAATTTGTGGTTTGGTGCGCAGCGCGAATAGGAGAGTGACGATCCCAGAAGCGTTCCTCACCACAGACATCATCCTTACGATCCTGCAAAACATCTCGGAAGGTCTGGTCGTCTACCCGCAAGTCATCGCGCGGCGGATCGCGCAGGAGCTGCCGTTCATGGCGACGGAGAACATCATCATGGCGATGGTGCGCGAGGGCGGGGACCGGCAGATCTGCCACGAGCGCATCCGGGTGCTGTCCCACGAGGCGGCCAAGCGAGTAAAAGAGGAGGGGAAGGATAACGATTTGATCGAGCGGGTGCGTGGGGACGAATATTTCGCGCCGATTCGGGGGAGGCTGGAGGAGCTGTTGGAGCCTAGGGGCTTCGTGGG